TAGTAATAGAAAACCTGAAGAGCGAGATCCAATCCAGGATTCCAGTGTAGTAGACCAGGATATATAATTTACATTCATTATGTAATTTAGACATGCATATTTCGATATAGCGTCACTAAGCTCATGTTTTTCTGTGAACCAAGCTTTGAATTCGATGATAAACCTAATTTATTGTATAACACAGTTTATAAACCCACGCTGCAAAAAAATTCTGCATGTTCTCATTCGGGTCACGTGCCCCACCCGGCAGTGACGTCAGCCGCCCCGTGTCGAGACGGATGTGAAAAGCTGCTGAGGCTGCTACTGGAGGGCCGGCCGGCAGCGGGGGGACACCAACATTCTGACGCCTTTTGCCTCATTTTCCCCGGTATTTACACCCAAAAGGTAAGCTTGAGGTGAATCTGGTTCTGTGTAGAAGTTTGTAGTTTAACGTGCAAAGGAATTCCTGCTAACGTCGGCGAGTTTGGGCGGTAAATACGGGGATGTCTGTCGCGTGTGTGATCGCTTTGCCTCTCCGCCTATGTTGTTGAAGGGGACTTGAAACGTCAAACTGGGGAATTTTATCCCGTGTTTCCTGTTCAAACGGTGATCAGAATTCTTACCCAGTGAATCTTTGAGACTGTGCGTCCTAGCATGCGTGTATGGGAAATGATACTATGTTCCTAGAAGTACGGAACTATCATTGGAAGGCTTGTGTATGAAAATGACTGTTGTTGTAATCTACATACGACGTCCCCTGACACAAAGGCCTTTACATGGCAATTTGCATGCCGCAAATAAACTCCAAAGAAAGGGTTTTCATAACTCCACACTACCCTGATGTAAACATGTCCGACTTTAGGTCCAGGAGGTCTACTATGTTGCAGCTTTCATGCTATGCTATTTCAAATATGGCCAAAATATACTTGAACGATGAAATAGAATACACACGCCGACGCCCACATCGTGGCATTACAATTTACATGACATTTATATGGTCCAACATTACTTACACTTCGTTACTATTACTATTCAGCATTTTATTTTCTCATTGATTGGTCTTTTGTGAAGAATTACAAGACTAGAATACAATGATTATAAAGGTCCAGGCATATATGTTGTACATAGGTATGTTTCGTTTTTATAATTTCAACATCCACCTAACTGACCTCAGTGAAATATAAACCTAGCAGCCATTTCCGGTTGAGTCATACTTATGACAAAAGAAATGAACTGTGAAAAATGACAATACACATGTAAAAACTGTTGTGAACTTTATTACACATTATAGTACTAGTAGTGGATTGGTAGTCTGATACTAGTCAAAAATAGTAACGTTATTTTTAACGTTTAGCATTCAAGACAAACAACAACAGCAACAAAATCTTGGTAGTCGTTAGCTGGATTTCTTCCATGCTAAAATTGGCCATTTATTATGATTACTAGGTATCTTGTCTAGGTATATAGACAATTTCAAAACACACACACACAGGCACACACATACACATAGCCCCCATGTGTAAATGTAAACAAATTATGTAGGGAATGCTGGTAGTTGATTACATGTTGTTTTGATATTGATTGGGGAGAAATAGCTGCTATTTCCTAAAGGGTCTGCCTATTTACCGGAATACACCGGAAAACACAGTTAAACACCGGAAAACACCGGAAAACACATATAGGAGGCTAAAATCTACCGGAATACACCCTGATATGATGAGATAACATACTGAATTGCTGTATTTTGACATGAAGTAACGTGTATATCGCCGCGGGAACAAGAAATCGTTATGAATTGGCGATCGGCGATCGCGGAGGCGAGCCGACCAGTCGCCATGTTTGTTTACATTGCCGACTACGAAATGTTTGTTTAACGCGATCGCCGTACAGAAGTGAAATTTACCGAAATGAAGAGGTCTTTGATGCAGGTACCGCAAGTTGCTACATTCTGGCATGAAATAAGTCGTATATGACTTTGTTATATGACGTTGGGAACAAGAAATCACTATGAATCGGCGGAGTCGACCCGCGGTCTGACGCCATGTTTGTTTACTTAGCAGCCGGCTATAACGCTAGTGAACCTTTATCCGTCACTTTTTCTCAGTGACAATCATGTGACGCCAATTTCTTTTCGTTTCTAAAAATGATGAACCGTTTTTCTTGTCCTATTATATTATGGATCTTTCGTCCTCGTGGTCATGGGTGTTTGGTCCTCGTTACGTTGGATCTTTCGTCCTCGTTTAGATGCTTGTTTAAGCAGCAGAGATTACTACATGTATTAGTACAACAATGTTACTACATAGCCACACGTGTTGCGGCCTCGATTTGTCGCAAACGCTGCCGGATCCACGCTGCGCTGCCGATGTGGGCAAGCCGCCGGCTCCTTCGATACCTTCGCGCCCTAGCCAACTCTCAGCTCAGAAAACTGTTTTTTTTTACCCCAGTTTATCATTTTAAATTAAGCAGAACATCTGGACAATTTTTCTAGTGATATTCGGCAGGAATTATTCATGTTAGAACGAGGACCTACTGTCTACTGGCTTCCTAAAGTTTGGCTTGCGACGCACACGCAACGCCGGGCGTGTTTGTTGTCGAATTTCCAGTAGCAAATATCATCAATTCTTTCACAATCAAGAAGACTACTTCAGCAATCAGCTATATAATGAAAGCTATATAGTGAAAGACTTCATATGTCGTGTCAACAGGCGATTGGAGTAGAAAAACGATTGGTTTTGTGCGGAAACATCAGTCCCTTTATGCCTGGTCTGAATGCTCTAGCTCCGCACTGTATACAAACAAACGCTGGAGAACAATCTTCTTTATATTCGGCAATTTTCGAGATTCTTCGGAAACCAATCACAGAGGCTCGGTTATAGTCGGTGCAGATCGTGTTTGTAACGAAGATGGACGAAACTGATTGGAGCCGCCCGACTAGACTAGTCGGCGCCAGCGGCGCCCGGCGGCAACCTCTTCAAAGGGAAACGCCTGTCAATCAAGTACATGTACGTGAAGCCACGCTGTGGGAAAAGTACGCGCCACCCAAAATGTATCAATAGATTCAGTTTTATTTCTCAAACAAACAGTCACAATATCAAACTTAGCTACTTTTACTATAGAGTCCAAACTGTAGTGGTTTCATCGGCGAAGTACTCTGGTCGCAATTTCGTGCATTTGATTGAAGAAAATTGTTGATGCCGTGGCGTGCCGATGTAACACGTTACGTGTTCGACCGAGTTTGTTTACTGGCCGGGCGCAGGTCATTGACCTTCGGCTTGCGTTGTTCCGGCGGCTGAGTGGACTCGAAGAGCAAAATGTCTGGCAGTTTTAGCGTCCGATTTTTGTTTGTATATCATTGAAAATAACGCTAATTTCCACCACTACATAACGAAATTCTTGTGAATAAATGTATAACTCAAAAAGTCTTTTGGGGAAATAAATATTCTTATCCGGATTTTTGGTGTATTTGGTGTTCTTTATTCATGATCGAATGGTGCCGAAGTCAGCGTACCCTGACGCTCATGAGCGATTCGCGATCGCCTAAATATCGCTGAAGAGAACATGTTCAGATCCTGGCGATTATGTTTTAGATCGACTACGATAAAACTTCAGGGCTGTCCTCGGCAAAATCAGATGAAATTTCAGTGTCAAGCTTTGCAGGAAATTATCAAATGCCGCCGCTCGCTGACGCACGCACTCGCTCTGTGCGGGTCATTGACCTTCGATTTGCGTTGCTTCCGGAAAATGTCTGGCAGTTTTATCGTCGGATTTTTGCGCTTTTATCCAACAGACCGACCTCGTAGCAATCATTCACGGGCATCCTATGCAACTATCTTTCTTCCAACTAGTTCGGAGTTGTGTGCACTGTGTATGGGAACCGCATCAATCTGAATAATCAATTCTCTTCTGTGATGGCGCTAAACAAACATCGTAGTCCGCAATGTAAACAAACATGGCGACTGGTCGGGTCGCCTCCACCGATCGCTAAATTATAATGATTTCTTGTTGCCGGGTTCCTGCGGCGATTTACACGCTATTTAATGGCAAAACACAGCAATTTGGGATGTTATCTCGTCTAAGCAGGGTGTATTCCGGTAGATTTTAGCCTCCTATATGTGTTTTCCGGTGTTTAACTGTGTTTTCCGGTGTATTCCGGTAAATAGGCAGACCGTTTCCTAAATGAATGCCAGTTCTGCACCCCCGTGCCCTAGTCTTGTCTAAAAACTGATCAACTGGAGTGATATGTCAACAACCAGTAGCGCAGAAAAGACACACCCACTAGTTGAGCTTACCATTCAAGTGATTGTGCTAAGTTCATGTGCTGCATATTTAGATGTCTTAGGCCCAGGGGCCACAAATGATGACATGTAACGTTAAGTTATATGTATATGCATTTTTGACATTTTTTATCAACAAGGTAGCCATGTTGCTGTGGATATATGTGTTGTCATGCAGTTTTTACACTGATTAGTTTTATCCACATAGGTTAGGTAACCATGCATCTAACTTCTGAGTACCAACCAACTAGATTGAAACAAGTTGCTAAGCTAAGGGTGCGAACTTAGGAAACAGCTACCAAGTGAAACACAGCATCTAGAGACCATAGACGTCAAACAAGGACAACAACCATAACAATTGAGCTACTGTTTATGTGAAAATTCAGGCACTGTGTTGAATTGAAACTAGTCACGTTTTTTGGTGGGTTCCTAAATCAGATATGACAGCTGGAAAGCTTGGACAGGACAGAGAAATGCTTTTCTTGTGAGGTAGGCCTGATTTGGCATAAACAGTTGAGTCATGTGATTTGATTGATAGATAGATTCCAGCTGTCTCTGAAACTAGGTTTCCAAAGAAAAGCAGTGGCAGCTGAGGTTAAAGGTTAAAAGGTGAACCAGTCATATCCTCTAATGAGGTAAGGGATACCATACATGCAGTACAAGGGAATTTATTTTCTTGTAGCTGGAACCTGCATTGGTTCTAATTTTTCACAAAATTCTTCTTTGACTGTTTTCACTTACGTACTGTGAACTTATCATTTACTGTTATCAAATCATCCCCCCCCTCAATCCCTGCACTTGCTGCTGCCAAAATTTTGCTCTGGGGGTTAGCAATCAAGGCCATGGGTTCAAATCATGTGTATTGTCAGCTGTTGTTGCTCACCCAGTTTTCATGTAGAGGAAACATTTTTTCTTAGCCCTGGAAGCCAAGCTGTGCACCAGGACATTGTACAAGGGTTGGAGGAATTTCCCCATTGGACCTTTATTATAGTAGTATTCTTTGTACAAAACTACCATGTTGGCCATTCTTCACACAAGTGAAATATTTACAGCAAGGAAAATTGGAATCTGGATATACTGCGTTTTTATGTGCATCATGTGTCTACATTGTACACAATCATGAGGGGAGTC